CCATTTGTTTTTTCACAATGTAGCTGGCCCATAACTTGTGGCCCTAGCAATACTAATTCGATTTAGGGATAATTGTTGAATATTCATAGAGAAACCTTTAAGGCCGTTTAAAATACAATTGTGATTGCGCACACGTTCGCATGGCATGATTACAATTCTAAAAGCTAAATTCGGAGTATGCGTTCGCGCAACTCCGAGCAAACCTTCTTAATAATAAAAAATGGGTTTTCGGAGGTTATTAAATTAAATTAGCTCATATAGTCTGAGGTGTGCCGCCTACCATTTAATCATACAAAATTAACAAATGTTCGTAGTTTGTTTTAAGCACGCGCAACTTCGGCCAAATTCATTTTTATAATAAAAAATGTTATTAATTTAATTATGTACACGTACGCGTGACATGATTCCTTACATAAAAAATAAAATAAAACGAATATACGTACGCGTGATTCGTTTCAAGACAATTCTATAATTACAAATAATCAAGTTAAAAGTGGTAATAAAAGTTAAAAATACGCAATAAGTTTAAAATGTGTAATAAGTCAGATAATTAGGCCAAGTATAAATTGTTAAGCGATCATGCTAGAACCACGGAATTCGGTAGTGCCCAACACACTTTCTCCCGGGTTAACAGAATTCCTTACTCGGATTTCTGGTTCGCAGACTGTTAAACAGAGTCATATTTTCCTCGATTCGGTGACTTGGGACACCATAAATCTCCCAAGTGGCGACTCTGAAATAAATAAAAAAATCCCGTTTCGATTGTCCTTTGATTGGAAAAACTCCCTTATATACTCCCTTCTCGGGGGGTGTAGGTAAGAAGGAGGTGTGATAATGATGCTAAGACTCGGGTGAGGATCAGGGATTGCCTCTTAGCCCATTTTTATTTGCCTTGACGATGGATGTACTGTCGCGACACATCCAAGGGGGGGTGCTTTGGTGCATGCTATTTGCCGATGATATAGTGTTGATTGATGAAACACAGAGCGGAGTTATCGCGAAGTTGGAGGTTTGGAGACAAACCATGGAGTCTAAAAGTTTCAAACTTAGTAGAACAAAGACAGAATACTTGGAGTGCAAATTCAGTGACGGGACCCATAAGATAAACGTAGAGGTTAATCTTGATGCTCAAGTTATCCCCAAGAGAGCGAGTTTTAAGTATCTTGGGTCTATTATCCAAGGTAATGGGGATATTGACGAAGATGTCGCACATCACATCGGAGCGGGATGGATGAAGTGGAAGCTTGCTTCCGATGTTTTATGTGATTAGAATGTGCCGCCAAGACTTAAAGANGAATGTGCCGCCAAGACTTAAGGGTAAGTTTTATAGAGTGGTGGTTCGACCGGCTATGTTGTATGGGGCTGAGTGTTGGCCAGTCAAGAACTTCCACGTGCAGAAGATGAAAGTAGCAGAGATGAGGATGTTGAGATGGATATGTGGGTGTACCAGGACAGATAGGATTAAGAATGAAGCTATCCAGGACAGAGTGGGAGTAGCCTCCGTGGAGGATAAGATGTGGGAGTCGATGCTGAGATGGTTCGGACATGTTAAGAGAAGAAGTATTGATGCTCCTGTCAGGAGGTGTGAGAGGTTGGCCATGGAGAGTTTGAGAAGAGGTCGAGGTAGGCCTAAGAAGTACTGGGGAGAGGTGATTAGACAGGACATGGTGCTGCTTCAGCTCACTGAGGACATGACCCTTGATAGGACGGTGTGGAGATCGTGGAGGTCGAGGATTAAGGTAGAAGGTTAGTGGGTAGTTTTTGGTTGTTCACCAATAGTCTTAGTATCATGCAAGTCCCTTCATATTCTTAGATTTTTATTACGTTATGTGATTTTATTTGCCTCAGGTATTGTATTCCCTGTTGCTATTATTTGGTACTACTTATTCTTTATCTCTCCCTTTTTTTCTTTTCTCTTCCTTCTTTCTTCCTTCCTTGCTTTCCTCTTTTTCTTCTTACCCTTCCTGAGCCGAGGGTCTATTGGAAATAGTCTCTCTACCTGCATTAGGTAGGGGTAAGGTCTACGTACAGACTACCCTCCCCAGACCCCACCTGTTAGGATCATGCTGGGTTTTTTTTTTTTGTATTCTACCCTTAATATTAATTGTTCTTGAAGACTACAAATATCTTAATTATGACTAAGTATTAAACAAAGAGAGAATATATCTTAATACATAAATAAGGTTAAAATAGTCAAAGCCCTTTCCTGTTCAATATTTTCTTAAGGGCGTGTAAAAGAAAAAAATAATAGATAATTTGGGACGGAAGAAGTATAAATTTTCATATTTACCTATATATTAATGGTGCAAATAATTTTAATGCTATCAATATTATTCTAACTTGTTGTATTACGTGACATGTCTTATTTTTTTAAGTTATTAATCTTACTTTTTTATAATAATTACTTGTAATTATTGCTTAAGCAATCCGATAATGTAAAAATTACTTTTCCGTATTAGTGAATAAAAATTGAATTCCCTCATTTCTAGCTAGACTACTACCAAAGTTAATCAACAAAGACTGCATCCTTCTATGGTAAGAATCTCATTACCATATGTGAATCGCAATGTCAATTTGTGTCCTTCAATTGTTAATGCTCAGCTCCATAATTGTGTTTAATTGTTTATTTGCAAAATAAAAATAACAACGTGGAAGCAGCGCCTTTGAAGCAGAATCATGTGCGTTCTGCCTTCGACAGTGTACGATTTAAGGTCCCTACATATGCCATTGTTTTTTCTTCTCCCAATGGGCATGTTTTTCCTCACAAATTTAACTTTTAATTTACCTTTATGGTTTGTTGATCTGCTCTCCTTAATTACCGTTTTTTCAGGTCATTACCTTATTGTTAATTAGAGCCTCTTTGGCTAAGCTTTTCGGACTCTAAAAGTACTTTTTTAAAAATTTAATGTGTTTCGCCAAATTGGAGGAGTGCTTTTGAGTAGTAGCAGAAGAATTTTTTTTGCTTTTGGGATGAATCTACAAATTTTAGCTTCTTTCAACCAGAAAATTAATTGGTTTAAGACAAAAGTATCCTTAGTATAAATTTATTCTTTTCAAGTTATCCTTCATTAATCCTTAAATAGATTTTTAATTTATACTGAATGAATATATTTAGATTTATTTAAATCATTATATAAACAATAAGTAATGGTGGATACCTAATATTATTGCTTTGGATAATTATATTATTTTATATTGATTTAAAACCTTAAAATATATTTTTACTTTATATTTTATTCTAACTAAATAAAAAGAACAATAATTAAATTTTTATAATTAATTTATAAATTGATTTTATCTTTTAAATAGTATAATAATTGTAAACTCAATATTTACTGTCATTTTTTTGGTCTTGAGTACTTTTTAAAAAGATTAGCCAAACACAATTTTTCAGAAAGTACTTCTCAAATTAATTGGTCAAATACAAACTGTAACTTTTTAAAGAGTACATTTTAGAAGATACTTTTGAATAAAAACACTTCTCAAAATAAATACTAGTAATTTTTAGCAGTTTGGCCAAACGAGCTCTTAGACAATTATTTATGATTATCGAAGTATAAAAGTTATCCTTTCTATCACTTGAATCTTGGCAAACCCCTATCTCACTAAAGATGTTTGAGAGTATTCAAAATGTAATATAGATTTATGAAAAGTAATATTTAATTTATATAATATTCCAGATCGAGAAAAGTGTCCAAGTGATAATCCTTCGTTCAGTGTAACTCCGCCCTTCTACATGCACACCAATATTTTAACACGTCATATTATTCAAAGTCGTCCCAATTCCAAAGAAATCAATTACTACTAATCAAGAAATTACAACTTTAACCGTAATATCACAAGTGCGAATTCTAACTTGTTGACCACTATTGTTTCCTCGGATGCTTTCTAATGGACCTATTAATTAAGTGAAAATTCATACAAAGTATACTAAATATAAGTAGCAACTGCGGTGGGCAGGCATTAATGCACAACTATATATTGTTAATAATAAAGTTAAAAATATGTTTAAAGTATTTACTGTAATATGTGAAACTTATAAACTTTTGCTTTGCTAAGGTACTTAAGTAAAAAAATGATAGATTCTATAATGTACGGAAAATATTATTAAAAATGTGTAGTATGTCAATAGATTTGAACATACATATATTTTAATTAAATTAATTATCCCATAATTTATGCAGAAATTTTTATATCTTGCATTATAATATCTACCTTATTCATAACAAAATTTACATTATAATTCTCGAAATACTAGTGCATGAACAAGCAAAAATCGAAAAAAAAAGTGCCGTTCTATTTTTACCTCAACTAGTGAAAATGCTGGTTGAAACGAAAAAGAAAAAGTGAAAATTGCCGTCAATTTTACTGCCACGTCGGACTAACGACCTCACATAGTGCAATTTTAACCATCACTTAAGACTGGAATTCAATTTCTTCTATTGGGACCCACTTTCTGATCTGAACCCAAAGCCTCTGCAATTACTATGCCGATTTCCTCGGCGGCCCAGGATCCCGATCTCCGGCCCGACTTGAACCGCATCATCCCTCCCAAACCGGCTGGCTCTGTCACCCGTTCAACACTCACAGCGTTGCTCTTTCTCGGTGGAACCGGCTCTTCCGGTATAGAATCATTCGTTGTCTCTATACTAGCCTTGACCGGTTTAATATTACTCCGACCAAACCCGAGCAACGAAAGTACACGTGAATAAAATCCGGTTTTGCGTTTAGCGCCTCTGCTCTTTGATCTCTCCAGAGATATTCCACATTTTTTCGCATCTTCACATGATTGCCGGCGGCGACCTTTCTTCGATCTTACTCTTCCAATGCATGATACCTTCGGCGATACCGGTTCAGGAGCGGTAACCGCTTTCAATGCCGATTCAGACCGTTTAGTCGGGAAAAAACGTATATTCGCCGGTTTACACGTTTTTCGCTTCGAATCAACTGAGCTACTCTTCGGTAATCCGAAAAACGAAGTCGTCTTAGTCTTCAAAGTCAACGGAAGTCTTTGAGAGCTCGCATTCGAATTCGCATGAATCAAGTTCGTAGTGTGTGAAGTGTTACCTTTGGCGGATTCTTTACGCTCCAAAACGGCGTTTCTATCAAACCAATCGAATTCGGCATCTTTTGGAAGACAGATTGATTCCGGCGGGAAATCCGGTGGAAGTTCCTTTTCGTCTTCGGGAATATCAGCGTTCTCCAGTTTGACGACGGTGACGTTCGCCAGAGTTTCACATGCAATTTTCCGGTCACTATTGCCGCCGGCATAGGTTGGAACTGGTGGTTCTAAATCAACTTGAGGCATTATTGAGAGTTGAGAGAGAGAGAGAGAGAGTTGAAAGGAATTTCCAAACTCTCGGGCGATTTGGGTTTGCGGACTGGAATTAGCATTAGCGTGTATCTTTAAAAAGGACTCGCAAATAAATGTTATTAAATAAAAGTATTTAAAAAAAAATAACTTTGAAACAATATATCTTTAATTTAACAAACCACCAGCCTGACAATTTAGGAGTTTATACACAATATAATGGTTGCAAGTTTAGTTCTCACTGTCCTTAAAAAATAATTCGAAAAATTAAAAATAAATTGTGACCAATAAATTCAAGGTGTATGTTATATAGGAGTAGTCTGCAACTTGTATGCAGTGCTAACAATATTATATATTTGTGAAAATATAATTCAAAAATTTATTGTAAATCGTTAGGAGTATTACAAAAGAAAACTAATTTTTAAAACTAGAATAAGATTACTTAAAATATTGTACATATTTGAGGAAAATGAGTTGTAAAATGACAAATGGATCATGCGCAAAGAAAATTTCTTTTTATCATAAAAAGGGGAAACCAAGTTTGCACTACATATATAGAATTTAGTGTTTTGTGTGTATAATAATTCAAAATACTAACACATAAAGGATATCTTATAAACTAGTATTAGTATTCGCGCGGATGCGTGGACACTAATTATGTCAAATATTTAAGTTATTTGGATTGTATGTAAATAATCTTAGAATTTACACTTTCTCAGTAAATATAGATAATCATTGGATGTTCACTACATGAAAAAAATTAACCATTTCTTCTATTTTTCTTTTTTGATATCATTCTTGTCGGTGTCATTGGATCCTAAAAATAGTGAGGAAGCAAAATAATAACTCATATTTATGGCAAAACAATCAAATGTTGAGACAATGAATGACTCTTTGGATAAGACTTAACTCTTTTACTACTACTTGAATTCTTATTTGGTGTGTTGATATCTCTTAAA